ACCAATATTTATTTAGTTATTTTTCAAAATCTGATGCTTGAAATTCTTAAATAAAATTGAAGATTAAATTTTCAAATTTTCAAATTCTCAAAATGTTTTATATCACTCAAGGAGTATCTTGTGTAGATACAAATTTTTATTTTTCCAATGACTATCCGTCTTTTTTTTACTGTAAATTATTTAGAAGACATTTTATTTAAAAATTTTAACGTATCAAAATTTAAATTCGAACGAGTTGGTTTTTAATTATGTATTTAATTTTGTGTATTTACGATTATGGGTTTAGAAAATGTGAAGGCTATGGTGTTTTGTAATTAACATTTATCTATCAACGTTTTAATATATAAAAGTGATTAAAGTATAAGAAACATACTGGAACCAAAATTACATCAATTTTATTTTTTGAAAATCAATTTTTAAGGACAATTTATTTTTTATTTAAGAATTTTAATAACAGCAGATAAACTACTCATTCAATTTTGATTTAGATACCTACAGTCGAATTTGCTTATAAGTTATAACGATGCCGTTTACAACGATATTCCGAGTAAAACGATTCCAAGCAATGTACTTAGTTGGTTTTATATCTTATGTGTTGTTATACATTTTATAATCCGGATTTAACGAAGTTCGGTTATAACGATCAGATTCTCTTGGTCCCTTGAAAATCGTAATAAGCGAATTTGACTGTACATCAACAATTAAATATATATATATATCCATTAAATAATTGATAGTAGAAAGGAAGGTTTTTCTTTAAAAAACGGAAGTTTGTATTGTTACAGGATGCTCTTTAATTAATATATACAATTTCATGAACTTAAAAATGTGGGTTTTAAGTATAATTGAAAATTCCAAAAATTAGAATTTGAATAAATGCATTATTAAATGGAAAAAACGGGGTTGAACATTTTTAAAGCGAAACATTCTGTATAACTGTATAAGTATAATAACTGTATAATAATAATCTATGGACCTATGGTGAACATTATTTAGAGAATAGTACATTAAAACGACTTTAAATTTAAATTCGAAAATAATAATTAAAATTCACGATGACTGATAAATATAATAAAAAGACACATACAAATCATAAAGCTTAAAATACATAAAGTTATGGTAATATTGGGGTATGTATATTATTGGCTGGCTTAAATATCAAAAACACACAGAAAACAATGTTTTTTATTTAAATTGCTTGAAAAATATAAATTAATTAACACTATTTAACATCAAATGAGTCTTAAACATTATTTGTATACTCGATTAAAGAAGTACTTCAGATTAATGTAATTAAATAGAAAAAAAAATACTCACAAGTATATAAGTTTTATAAATAGGAGAATACATTATTCAGTATCAGCGTGACAACGTTTTAATAAGTATTATCAAAAATTAGTAATTTAATACCAAAATAGTAAATTGTTATGATTATTATGAGTTAGGATATTGTATTCATTTTAAAATTTTATTTTACTTTATTTAGTTTATAATTGCATAAGAATAGGTCAACAATTACTTATATCGCATTTATATCGCATTACATAACAATCATAACTCATAAAAATGATGGGGACAAAACAATGATAGCGATTGATTGGTATATAATTGCTAAATTACTTACCTTAAAGATAGATGGAAATCTATTCAGCATTCACATTATGTATGTCAATCTATATTTCTTAAGTTGATGGGTAAATGGAATTATTAAAACATTAGCTATAATTAAAATTTAAAAGTATTTGATAATTTAAATTTATTAAGAAAAAAATCTTTGTATTCACCTAAAAATTAGATGATCTTTTTAATTAGAACTATTTAGAACCGGGGTGGAACCTTTACGCTGGACATGTGCCAAGATTTTTGTAGTCAAAATCATATGAAAAAATCGTGTATGCCAATAATACTTTATTCGTTTGTACTATAAATCAGTATAGTTTTAATATAGTTCAGCCAGTTTAGGATTATTGTAGATTTGAAAAATATATCTATATATAAAATACCTAGAAAAGACAATTTTTAAATAATCATTTTCTTTTTAATTGACAACTGAAATTTTCCACCTATTAAGTTATATTTTATATGTGAATTTTCATTTTTATTTATCTTTGGATATTTTTTTAACATCAAGTGTCTATTTTTTAAAGTTTGATTAAACATTACAAGCATCTCTTGATTAGGCTATAAATGTATTCCTTTGTTTTAATTTAATTGATGATCGCATACATTCATTATGGAAAATTAACTTTCACAAGTATACATTAATGTGAATATCGCAGAGTATATATCATATCAGATGAATAACTTTTTTTAGGTTACAAACTATATCTAAAAAAAAGTTCGATGCTTTCTACATTTCATAATTAACAACTTTACAAAAATAATGATTGTTATTATATGTACGTTGTACATATATAATTCAGAATGAATAAAAATATTTTTCATTATTATTGTTCATTAAATATTTAAATGCAAGATTAAACAATACAACTTTAACGTGTGATAGGCTCACATCACTGCTGTTTTAGACTGTTTACAAATTTACTGTTTCAACATTTTTTTTTTTATTTAATTCAAGATTTCTAGTTACTTCTATTTAATAGAGAGATTTTAAATATTTTTATTCTTAGCAGTTATTTATGCTATTTTGACTATGAATACATTCAATCTTTTTTTTTATATTGACATTTGTAAAGATTATTTAAAAAAAAATTATAAATTTAAAAACTGCACAATGTTTAACAGTAAATAGTATTGCTGAAGTTTAACGTATTATAAGGAGTAACATATAGGCATTTTAAATGACATACTTATAATAAATAATATTGCCGTCTGCGAGAATCGAACAAACAATGAAAATGAATGAGTGCAATCTGTTAAAATGCAAAAACTAAAACAAAACCCAGTTGTTTTGGAGGTCACAGAAATGGCGAAGTTCATGCTAACAAGTAACAACCAATGTGGACATGTGGTTGATCGTAAATTTTGCTGACAATAGAATAGCCGCTATTAACTATAAATAACTACGTCGAACGTATGGACTCACGACTGACTTCAAAACCAGTCTGTGCAATAATATATAAATTCAGAATGTATTCACCATCAGCTGAGGAGTACCATAATAATATCATCGGATCCGATTTCTAAAAATAAATAACTGTACTTTAAATGGAAAATAAATTTATTTTAAATATTTTACATTTTTAATTGATTAATATTACAGTTTTATCGTGATAGTATAATACTTATAGTAAAATTTTTATAGGTATAGGTATAGGTATATATATTATTTTTATTTACATATATACGGTATACATCTTAAACGTATTACCAAATATAAAATCAAACAAAATGTAAAACTTATTTTTGTTCTGTTCTGTGAAGTGATCTAAGCGTCCTAATCTGGTCTAAGTGAATGCGTCCTAAATGATAAGACTTTGAAAAATATTGTATTTTATTTAAATCAATATCTGGTTTTAACTCTTCGGTCTTATGCATATCTTCTTGATCACCATTAGTATTTAAATTTTCATCCTTGGTATCTCTTAATATTATGAAGGGTTTTAATCCCGAAACTGACATTAAAAATACATCGAAGTCTTTACTGTTCCACGAATCTAGATAGTATAATATATGAAATATTTATTATTATTAACAAGAGCTTATTGTCAAGTTTGTCACTTGACATACATGATATACCTACTAATTAATGAAAAAGTAAGTAGTCTCAATTCAAAATATAGTACGAATATTTCACTGCAATTTTTTGTAATGTGTAATAAATATATTAATATAATATTTGATCAATAGCCATATTTTTGTTATGATTTTCAAGTTAACAAATTTTACTGTTGAAATTTTTTTTTATTACATTATTCGGAAATACTATGTTTTGAATAATTGAATTAGAGCTATTGACTTTCCAATAAATCGACATACTTTATCAATTTATTATACGCATCACTCACTGTCATTTTTTAGGTTTCCTATACTCAACGAACGCATATTTTTTTCAATAGTAGGTTCAATCATAATAGCCAAACGCAAATGTTGAGAAATTTTAATGTCATGGGAAGGAAGAACAAATCCTAAAGTATAAAGTATCATGACTGCCAATGAAATCTAACAAACAAAAAAAAATGTATAATATATTTATATAGTTATTATCCAATATGATTGTAATTAAATTGTGTACAGTATATTTGTAATTTGTAGGTAACGGCCAACGGGTACGGCGTATACATAAATAATCATATTAATACATGATGGTAAAAGCATAAAATAAAATATTTATTTACTCACCATTATTATAATATTTTATTATTCAGTGACACGGATTTAATAACCAATAGAGTAAATTGCTTAAATAATTTTTAAATAGCTACTGAATTCACAATAAGAAAATCGATTTACTAATCATATATACATGTCTTGAAAAAATAGATCTACATGGTATTATACATAATATTTATATACTTACTGCACTCAGGTATATTTTTCAATTTTTCGTCATTAATTGTGAAAACATGTAAAATGGGCATTAGGTGTATAAATCTGGTAAATTAATCATAATTATACATTTTGTCAACAGTTACTTAAACAATACCTCATTTGTATTTAAGTTATTATAAAACATTTTCTCTCTATATATATATATATATATATATATATATATTAAATTATGTTTTTGACATTAATAAATGTATGTAGGATGTAACGGGAAACTTTACTAATTCTTAATCGGTTGTTAAACACTTCACTTAAGTATTGAACAATTAAATACTATTTACAAGCTTGAGTATAATTATAAAAATATTAAATTCGAGCATTATGCATATGAGTATGGGTCAAGCTAATCGATTTTGTATATTATAAAACCCCGATATTCCGGATTTACGGTATCATTTCAACATCGAATTAAAACTCAAATTCAAAAATATAGCCAATAGTAAAATACTAAGTCATTTAACTAATTTTCGAAGACACTTTTAGAAGAAAAAATGACTGTAAGTACATTAACATTATATAAACTACACTTACTCTAACTATGTATATGTAGATACTGTTTCACTGTACACTTGACTATTTATAATACATAATATTATTTATCTATTTATCATATAAATATATTGAATCACATCCATTTTTTTTTTATTACTTTGTGTAATTGTGGACTTTTTTTAATTTAACCATTTGTATACGATTATAAATATATACGGATAATAAATGTAGCTTTCATAGGTGATAAGAACAAAAACGTAAAACTAAAAATTTATTTTTTGAAAATTTTAAAGTAACAATTTTATAAATATAAAGACAGATGTACAAGAATTATTATCGAGTGCATTCATATAATATCTACTACCTCATGGTAGTGAATTTAAAACAGGCGATTATACTATTGCAATATCACCTATGTATTATCTATAATGATTAATAAACTATAGTAGGAAATTAAACACACATTGTAGATTTAATATAGTTTTACATTTTTTCACTATTCAACAGCATGATTTATTTGCATTATTACTTTTCGGCTATCATGTATAAATATTTTTTAAAAGTTCATATTATTCATAGTAAATTGGTTTTCAAAAAAAAAATTTAAATGTCTAATTAATTATTTAAATTGCTCAAAAATGCTCAAGAAATGTATAGGCTCTAGTACTTTTTGTTTTCTTTGATCTGTCGAAAAGGATTTATATATAGTCAATTTGCGTGAAAATTGACTCAAAATAAAATATACAACATGCTTAATTTGCACCAATACTTTTGAAATACGTTTTATAATTTGTATCATATTAGTAAGATAATTGTTTAAATAGCACTTACACGTTTCATTAGTAGAGTATAATATATTGAGGTATAACCAGTGAATAGTTTCTATGGTATGTCAGTATTGACTACCTAATAACAATTATAATATAATACATTTCATGTACATAATATTATAATGATTGATACTTCATAAAATTATTATAATAAATGCATTATTTTTGTTAAAAATGAATAAATGTAATACTGTACAATAACGCGATTTCGAAGGATCGGACATTTAACTCTTGAAACCATTTCCAAATAAGACAGTGAACGTAGATGTATAGTTATATAGAAATTTCAAAAAATTATTATATTCATTCGAGGCTGTCAACAAAGGTATCGACGAAATAACAAAGGTGCTCTTTTTGGTGCAAATTGCAAACTCCCATAGAGACGAGGTAAACCAAGACGTAGGTATACCTAAAAATTGCAATCCATGAGTAATTGTTATTTAAATGTTGTAAACGTCAAATAGTTTTTATGTATACGTCATCATTACATCGTTTGACAAGTGTTTATTAATTTTATTATTTAATATGAAAATAATAGTATATAAAATATCAGCTATGATTTTATAAAAATGTATTAAAACTTTCTGTTCACCGCGTTTAGTTTAGAGGAATGAGGCTGATGGTGTCCGTGTTGGCGTTGGCCACTCATTCACTGGCCGCGCCGTCCACCAGACCACAGTCGCAGACGGCCAAGTCGGCCGAGGACCAGACGGCCCGGGACACGTTACTTGAACTCGCCGTAGCCTTGATGACTGGTGGCTCCTTAACGACGACGGTGGGTGGTCGGAAAACGGAAGTTCATCACCACAATGACGGTCAAAGTCACAAGCCTCAGCACCACCACGCCATTTCCACTCTAATTCATTTGTTTCTGACAATCGGTAGCGCGTTTGCTCCACTGGTGGGCGCCATCGTCGGGCCACTGTTGACCAACGTTGCTAACGGCATAACGTGGGCCATATCGCACACGATTGCTTCCGGTAAGTCAAAAAACCTATCCTTATTGGTAGTCTACAAAAACAATTTCATACATTTACTTAAACGGTTCTCGCCGTTTGCCCGTTTTTTTTTCTCAATTAAAATATTACCAAACCAAAGAATACAGATATTATAATACCTAACTTAAAGACTAAAGTATAAACGATTAAGTCAAGTGTCATACATGTAGTCCGCATACGTCCAAACATATTCAATAGAACAATTAAATAACAGCATACAAACATAGTATTTATTAATTTTTTGAGTAAATTATAAAAAAAAAATTTATATTTATAATGTCATTTGTCTTGTTTGATTGTAATTTATTCTAATGTTATAATCAATATTAAAATATAAAATTGTAAATTCTATTTCGAAAAAAAATTCTGACCACGCATAACATCAATTACCCCAGTTATAACCTTGCACATTTTTTATAGGTGTAGGTGCATATATTATTATAATACGTATCTAGCTTTTATAGTAAGTATAATATATTAAAGGCTGACATCGACCTAATTCCGAAAATGTGACACAATATTGTTATTTGAATTTTTAAAATTTTGAACTTGACCGATATTCCCAATCCTGATGAGGTGTCGTCTAAATTGTTTGCTTAAATAAAAATTATGCAAGTGCCTATTTGACAAATTCGTAAATTATTATGCATACCTACCTACTTTTTTTTACCTTGATTTTCAGTCGACGGTCGTATGGCTGTTCAAACAAACGTTTAAACTCGTATACGATTTTAGTAAATAAGTATTTAAGTAATAGGCATTGATGGTTAAATATATTGTATTATATTTTACGTTTTCATTCTTTTTCGTTTGTACACGGTAATTCACCCTGCTTTTCTACAATTATTTAAAATTTGATTTTTTGTAATTTTTAAATATATTTTAAAACCACGTATTTTAAAATTATTGAGATTTTTTTGTATTATTTATAGTATTTTTTGGAGAAAAAACTTCTAATTTTTTAATAAGGACTCCACTTTTTTATATTCTAAGTACCTACATTTTTTAGTAGATATTTTTTTCTGAAAATTTTAACATACAAAAATAAAATTTGAACGAATGAATATTTTTGACGAATCAGTTGAATTACATAATAAATAATAATATTATTATGAGTTATTATCGCATGATAAAAATATAAACGATTTACGATACCGACACCGTAATATACTGTGAACTTGCGGGTCCAAAACATATAATATAATATAATAAAAGCTTATGCAGATTTGCATAATGTAAGTAACATATTATTTTGAGTGAACACGTGTTATAAACTAAGGTTAAATGATACTTGAAAAATAATGATTTAAATTGTGGAGCACTTTATAAACAAAGTGGTGTTACATAATATGAGCATACTTGGACTAGAATTTTGCCGTAATTACCGATTAAAACCGTTTGATTACATTCACCTGACATAGGCCCGTAAATTACAATACATGTATTCGGTCGTATATTATATTGTATTTTAGTGTATCGACTTTTCAGGATTTTCACCTCCACACGGATTATTCTCGCCGGAACTCGGCCACGGAACCAATAACATCAAAGAACACCTCACGTCTTATACTGCCGAAGGTCAACCCGAAACGGGCTCTGACGCGATTCATCAAGTACAGCAACCCGCCGCGGCTGTGGAACCGTCCGAACCCGCGACGGTCGATGACACCAGGAATGAAGTGAAGAAAATAACACGACGATCCACCTCAGACGAATGTATTACAGATTGTACATGATCACGATGACTACAGTTTCTTTTTTCGCTGTATGGTTTCGTTATTTATTTTAAATATTATTGTTCGCTGAACCCTATGATTGTACAAATAACAATAAATCATTAATTATTTGTACGAAGTTTTCTGATTCTCTAGACAGTGTTTAGACAATGTACATGTTATTCATTCAGTAAGTCAATTTCAATTATGAAATGCTAACAAAATTTATATCATGAATATAATATATAACCTCATGTAGTCATCTGCAGTAATATAAAATATAAATACTAATATTAAAAAAATATAATATTAGGTAATATATATCTATAATATACATAGACTGTATCACATTACGTTAGATCTTAGATACTAAGTAGTGATCACTATCAGTGATATAAATATCATGTCTATGCATTAGAAAATATGAAATGAACCTATTTTTTTTCAAATGGAAATTAAATCATATTTTACATTGACATTATATGATCTTATAATCTTGTGAAATAAATGAGTTTAAGATGTTTATTTTAAATTTTATATTATATTAGGTTTCAAGTGGTTATAAACTCATAACATCTATTTTGCAGAAAACCTGTATGCAAAACCAGTAGAACAAAACATTATCATCCTAACTATAGGTACCACTATGCAAATATATAGTAGTACACAGGCAGCATTCTTGCCACTTCTTCGGTATTTTTATATCAAAATAAAATATTATATTTATTTAAATAACTTATAGGTAACTATAAAATAAATATACCCCGAGGTACCTATTTATGTTTTCTTAAATACAATTTTTTTATCTCTTACGATATTTCAAGGTTTAACAATTTCCTAATACTTTTATGAAATTTCCCCTGCTGTGATTTTTCTTTCACTCGCCACGTCAACAGACGACAACGCATATTATACGCCTACTGTTATTTTGTCATTTTAGTAAACAACTTTTATTATAAGAACTAGTAGTAATCGTATATTATATTATAATATCTAATAACTAATTCAATAGTCTTTAAACTATTTTGTCAATTAAAATTAAGTTTCAATCAAAAAATATTGGTATAATAAATATATTAACATTGCTTATTGAATTATGTAGCTATCTGAGACACTAAATTGCATATATACTTATACTTTCAAATTATAATTGATATTATAGATCGTTAAGAATTCAAAATGTAATTTAGATCATTTCTATAAAACTATAGATATTATTGTAATTATAAAAGAAAATAACGATTTAAAAACGAATATATAATAAATAATATGCAAATAATTTGAATTTTGAAACTATATCTTACATTTTATAAGACTCTAACATAACTCTTTACTTGAGGCAAAAACAGTAGTCTTTATAAGCTCCCCGTACTGAAACATATCAAAATTATATATTATACAAGTATAGTAGGTAGGTACTTAATATTTAGTTTTTAATTTATTGCATCTACATTATGACTACGTAATAACATGACCTATTTTCTTTTTAAATGTACATAATCTAGCATAATATAATGGTAGAAGCGTAGGACATGAACGGTGTACTATAATTTATCTATAATTAATTTAATGGAAGAATAATATATAACAATTTAATTTTACTATCTATGTAGGTAATACAGCTGTTGTGTCTAATATTTTTTTATATTCTACTAAATTAATGTCATATCGTATTTTAATATTTATAAATATGGACTGTAATTTATTAAACCATTACTTTTTTCAAAAAATATTGTTTTTTTATTATTTATTGACAAACTTTCTTTCTTGGTAGATACCTAAACCATACGGTTTATTTTTTTTTTTCCCATTCAAAACCGGAAACTGGTGCGAACTGTTTAACACAATACTGCCCCTTGATCCCGTAACGTTTATCCATCAACAATATCGGTTATACATAGGTGGAGGATAAGTACCATACTTATAATTATTATTAAATCAATTCATTAAAATACTTGACAATTGGGAATTGGGATTCATTGAAATTATTACATTGTTGCAGCCGGTTACAATGGTGCAGTACCTATACGACTTTATCTATTGGATTGATGTCATAATTCGATGATGTCCAGTGCATCCATGTACAATTTATATAGATATTATAATTATTGGTATATAATATAATTTATCGTCTTAAATTAATGTTCTATAACACCGAAATATATATATGGGCGTGGAACACAAATTATGATATAATAATTAGTTCTAATGTGACAACGAGGTCATGTTGTTTGCCAACAAAAACCGATTCATTTAAAAACAAACACACACACAAGTAGGTACCTATATAGGTAACAACAACAATATACATATTATTATGTACCTACGTTAAAATATTATCGTTTCGTGGGGGTCATGTCGTGCAAAGTGTGCGTACACAGCCATTACGCAAGAGAATCACATCATACACTAGTGTCTATACCTGTAGCTGAGGTATGTATAAGTACCTATTACCTATATGTCGTATGATAATCGTATTCGGTAAGAAACTGGTTTCGATTTACCTATAGGAGTTCACGAAAAGCAAAAATCGTATCAGACCACTACAGTCTAGGCTATCCGTTCGTCCATCCGTCCGTCCGTCCGACTGCAAATACGAGCTGCTGCTGCTGCAAAAAAAAGACAAAGGACGATAAAAAATAACCATGAAGAATTTAATATTCGTGGTAGCTGTGGTAACTTTTGCTACGGTTTCGGCCAACAGAATCAAACGCGCTCCGGTAAGAGTAAAAAGATTTCATTCGGGATAATATTTTCAATTTTGTGGATAATTGATTTTCTAAAACCTATTTTTATAGTGTTATAACTTATCAACAATTGGTAGGAGAAGTTTATGATTTAAACATATTTTTCTTTTAGTCATGAATTTTGTACACTATATATTATTATAAATCTAACGACCACGATATAAAAGCAATTATATTATATTTTATTTTACATATTTTCGATTTTTAACAAATTTGGTTTTGTATCATAGAGCATAGGTTATATTTAATTGTGTAAATTTTATAGAGATAAGACATGTATAACTTGCTAAACATTTAAAATTATTATCAGAAATTAATTATTTTACTAAAAATTAATTAATAATTAATTATTTCATAAAATGTTTAGTATATTTCGAATAAGTAATACAATTATATAATGTCACACACACACACACACACACACACACACACACACACACACACACACACACACACACACACACACACA